GTTTAAAAAAATAGTCACTGCTATTTAAATTTGTTCATACTTTATACTGCATGAACTCAATAACTAAGTGATTTTTTTCTCCTTTTCAACTGTATGCTTTGTGATACATGAAGAGAAGTGAGCATTTGTGTAAAGTTTACATTTACCAAAAAGTATTACCTTCTCAGCCAAGGAGAAACAAATAATTGGAAGTTATTTGGAAGGGAAGGTCAAAATGATTATTTTATTTTGAACTATATATAGTCAGGCCTCTTTATTTTTTTCAATATTGCTAGAAGTAGTATAAAGTATTATTTCAAAATAAATTATATTTCCCATAGTGATAACAATGTATTTAGTTAATGTATTTTCAGCCAAGGATCTGGCATCACAAATTCAGAGACGCAATGAAAACATTTTTTATAAATTTAAAGAACTGTAGCTATGAGCCAGGATAATAACTTAAAATTTAAAAATCAAAGCTTATAGTTTTAAGAGGCATAAAGGGTTATAAACATTGATTACAAAGGTGTACTAATGTTCTATAAAATATTTATAACACTCACAAAAATACAGTTATATCATATCATAAATTTTGCTAAAAGTGTGTTAGCTATAATAATCATTAAACATTTAAACAGTTTTAGTGGCTTTCATAGAATTTAGAAGAACCATTTTTAGAAGGAATGCAGGAAGGAAATTATATGGCCTAATCTCTTAAATAATTTGTCCAGAGAAGGCTAAACTACTGCATCTGCCCCTCCTTCCTCAATTAAATCCCTTCTAGAACTAGGGGTCCTCCAGATGCTAATGTTGGCCTTACAGTGGCCCCCAAGCCTATGGTCAAAAGCTTGCTACATGTTTGTTGGTTTTGCTTCTGAGATTAAACTTAGATTTCAGTGCAAAAGTTTTCTCAAGATTTCATGCTTCACTTTTTTATATCTTTTTTATTTCTTTAAAACTATAGAAACTGTTTTGACTCAAGAGGAAATGCAAAAAATGAAAAAAAGTTCGCCATTAAGTCACTGGATTTGACTCCTTGTTGACAGCTATCAAAACATTTCAGGCTGTTAAGAAAGCATTAAAGCAATTATTAAGTCTTTGTCATGGCCTTTTAAAGTAGAAACTTCAACAGCCTTCAAGAGAATTGCTAAGATAGGCATAAACTGCCAGGCCTAAGTACATCAGGCTGCCTTGTGTTTCCATATTGATGGGACCACTCTCTCCACCTCCTCACCTGCAGGCTCATCCCCAAGAACAGATGCAGACATCCAGGGTGGAATTTAGTGGTATTGGTTAAATAATTGAGTTTCATGGTCTTGGGGTTCTATAATTTTGCTCCAACCACTTGTACAAGTCGACACATCAGAACACAGATGTATTCAGTAAGTTATTGATTTTTAAAAGTATATTTTTGGTTTCCTGAAGACAGCACCATCAAATGAAAGCATAGCTTTCATGAAAAACTAGTTGGCTTATACAATGTCTGGTGCTTTGACCCTGTTGTTATCTCGATGCAAAGTAAGTGTTCTTTTTTCAGGAACACAATAAGGAAAATTGTAAAGTTTGTCAGATTTATACTCAGGGGTCCTAACTTTCTCTTCACGTACCTTTCCTTCTCCCTTAGTAGTGCCCCCCTTGGCCTGTTGGGTTTCTGGCCGCAGAGCCCCCTACTAATCTTGCATTTATAGCCTTCGTTCACTCTAAAGAATAAATAACACTTTGAAATATTCATAAATAAATTAAATTATTAATGTACTTTAGCATTCAATGTGCTTTAGCAGTGGAAATTTAATATTCTAAATCAATTGTGAAGTACAAGAAGCAACTAGAATATAAAATCTCACTCCATCTATAAGAAGGTCAACCCTACATATATCTTTTGTGGGAGCTAAAAAAACAATACTTTTCCTCCCACTTTCTAAGTTCTTCTAGCTGGGCTAATAATCAAATCAACAGAGACAGATTAACAGGAGAAAATCAAATTTTTAATACATGCACATGCGGAATTCACATAAGCATGAAAATTCCAAAGACAGCAAGGTAACATTGGATATGTCATTTGGACAAAAGACAAAAAGCGGAAAAGGGGAGAAAGGTATTAGAATTCAGATGTGAGAATGGGCAATTTACAGGTAGTTGAGGAGGAGCAGAACACACATGGCAGGTGAATTCTTGCTGGTCAGCTCAGACACAAGTGATATCTAGCTAACAGGCCCCTGCCTACAGCCATCTTATTTACCACACTTAATTCAAGTTAGGCTAAGGTGAGGACAAAAAGCGGAAAAGGGGAGAAAGGTATTAGAATTCAGATGTGAGAATGGACAATTTACAGGTAATTGAGGAGGAGCAGAACACACATGGCAGGTGAATTCTTGCTGGTCAGCTCAGACACAAGTGATATCTAGCTAACAGGCCCCTGCCTGCAGCTATCTTATTTACCACATTTAATTCAAGTTAGGCTAAAGTGAGCATCCTAAGATTCCCTTCCTGAAGCACGTTTTTCTGTCATAATCTCTTGGGCAGGAAGGGGGAAGGTCAAAGGTTATTTCTGAGTCTTGTTTCTTAGTAAACAAATTAAAATCAGTATCTCAAAAGGCAGACTCAGGGTGGCAAAACTTGGGTTCCTTTCACTGTCAAATGCCTGCCTATAAGTCCTATATGAAAATGTTGTCATCAGGCATTCTATAAACTTTATCTCATAGAAAATAAATCATCTCAATGCCTTTTTTAGGCCCAAATTATTGTTTTTAGGTCAAAGAACTTATAAAGTATAAAATATACCTATAAAGATATCAGATAGCAGCCCCTTGACTAATAACATCAATCAGTTATATCTGCATATATCAAATAAGTATCCTCAAGATCATATTTTCCATGAAGTTTATGAGTAGCTTTATTTCTATTTTCACAATAGTAATGTAATTATTTATACTTTAACATAAACTGTTAATGATATCGTTCTTGCACCTTAGTCTCAGCATGTTAAAAATCAAATCCATAATAGCCTTCACATCTAGCCCTCATACAAATGGTCTTCTATTGATGGTACTACCAATGGCTCCTTTCCATTCAGTTGAAGCCATCCCCCACACTGCCAGCAAATCAATCTTTCAAAAGTACAATTCCTGTCATATCAATTCCTTGCTGGAAAAAAGGGAAAAAAAGCCAAAGCCTCTCTGTTACATGCTAAATTAACTACCAATCTTTTTTCCTGTAGTTTAATGCCATTTGAGATATGCATTAGACATCATAAACATCTTTAATTTGCAAAACTCTGTATTTTTGCTATTAAGAATTATGGTTCTTATTAGCTAACATTTACTGACTATTTTCTAAATATTAGGCCCTGTCCTTGGGTTTCACATAAATTATCTTAAATAACCTCAAGATAATCCTGTTAGGTAGATACTAGTATATCTTTATTCCTAAAATGAGTAAAGCAAAATTGCCAAGTTAGGTAACAGATGAAAATTGATTTCATCCAAGGCTGTGATATGTCTGCAGTAGCGGAGACAGCACGTTGAACAGCAATGATTCAGCTTCTGTCCTATGACTCCAAGGCTAATGGTACTAATAATTCCTTTCCATCTGTCCCCTAAACCACGTGTAAATATTAATTCCAAATGGAATGGATGTTGCTATTCTCTAGGGGAATGAGGGTGGTCGCTGGGAGAGGTCACAATAATTCTCTGTCCTATTTTCTCTAAGTAGTGAGATAGTAAAATGTTTCTGTTTGTAGCTACTTTACCTACTTCTTTGGTGACCATATCTAGATTTTCCCGAACAATTCAGATTTCATACTTTCCAGCCCTCATAATCAGAAGCATGGTTTAGAAGAAATTCACCACAAAACATTGTTGATAGAACATTAAAGCCAATAAAAATACTGACGCAATGTGAAGATCATGATGGAAAGATATTAGAGGAAGCAGAGGGAATGGAAACTCTGAAGTCAGACTGATGTCACATTGTTTCCACGGGCTTTGCAACAAAGCAAAAGTGAGGGCCCCTCCCTCTTGTGTCCTGATTTCAGAACCTGTTTAAAGTTCTGGCCTTACAAAAGGCCACTGTACTCTTGCAGGACATAGAGCCAACAGCTTAGGAGAAAATAGAGCCCAAACCATTCTTTCAAATGGCCAAACAGCTGAAGTGAACACACATAAGCGAAGTATCGTCTCTTTCTTTTTCTAAGCACCTCCCCTTAAATGCAAAGAAAAGAACTGATGTTTGACAAATCTTGTTATAAAAAGTTTTGCCAGAGCAGCCACCTTTATTTTAGGAGATGAAAATCTTATTCGCCCGTGTAATGTTAAACCCAAACATTTAAATAAAATTCTTAAACATATGTGCTCAGCTAATCTACTATAGATAATATCAAATAATAAAAAAATCATTGATAGATTTTCTGAGAAAATATTAAAATGATGCATACAGAATGTAAATGTTAAAGATATTCTTTATTACTTGCTGAGGGAGATTCAACTAAAATTGGTTCGTAAATAGAAAGATATTTCAAAATGTTCATATACTTTAATTTCAAAAAGCAGTCTAAACATAAAGTCTTGATATTGAAGATCTGCTGATGTATTTAGCATAGGACAAAAACAAAAAACAAAAACAGAAAAAGCTGTGAACTGCATTGTTAATTAAATGCCAAATAACACACTGGGATGATGATTTTATGGTGATTTCGGAAAATTCCAAAGAGTAAGGTGTATCTCTTGACAATCAAGGAGTTGTAATACCAAAGCGGAGTTTCCATGTGCTGAAAATGTTCATATTTTTTTGCCCTCTGCCATATGTTTCAAAAGGAGATTATCTGAGTAAAATTATATAAACTCGGGCTATAGCTTTTGGTTTTATCAAAATCAATATATACACACATACATACATACATACACATGCACAGTGCCAATTAAGAAATGAAAGGTATGGCTTTTTTAGGCTTTGTATCTAGGCCGCTTGTTATCTGAGCTTCTTCAAACCAAGTCTGTACTAATGAGCTTTCCTTTGCACAGGGAGATAAAGAAGCTGAATTAGGACTTCCATTTTCCCCACTTTGTGATCGGAATTCAACAATTGTGGCTCAGTCACAAATAGGTAATACTGAAAATTGGTGGTCACGGAGAGTGGGTGTGTGCTTGTCAGTTTTCAAATGGATACACCGTGTTGTTCAAAGGGGCAACATCCAAGAAAACCTCACTCCATATTCATGATAAATTTGTTCTTTGGATCATCTATATCATGCTAAATCATAAGAATTATTAAAACATTCTCACAAAATGAATTCCATAAAGCAGTATTAGGAAATGTAATTGTTATTCTGTGATCCTTTTACAAAAAAGAAAGCCTTTAATCTTGTTGAAGAGACAGCATTTTTGCTGTTTCATTGCTGATTATTGTTTTCTGTAATTTAATCCTTTGAATATAGAACAATTCACTGAAAATATTAATATGTTCTGTTATCTCTAAGTTTGCATAATATTCTTAATATAGTAGCTCATATTCCTTTGGGAAAAAATTCTTGTGGTAAATTAGAATAAATGATGGGTATGAATAGATAAGCCAACAACAGGAAATTTGTAAAATGATACTGCTTTCAATCACATTCATTCTTTTCATTTGTATTTGTGTTGGGGACTTCAAAACCCACCCAGTATTAAAACATATTATTGCTATGCTGCATAGTTCAAATATTTGAAATAGTTATTACCTGAGCCAGCATTTTCTTTATTTCATAACCATTTGAAGTCTGCCTCACCCCTCTAGTTGCTCCAGTACCACCTCCTACACAGCAGGGGTCAGCTGTGAGAAAGCTTCTTGCTCTGACCTTCCCCCTCCTACCCAAGTTCCAACAATTGTTTTTCTAGATACCATAACAGGATGCCTGCCTATCATACAGGTGTGAATGTGGCCAGCTAAGGACCTCCTCAGGCAACCTGGGAAGAATGGACGTTTCTGAGACTTATTGCTATAACGTAAATTGCTGCCATGTTAGTGCAGGTGGTGGCCTAATTTGACAGTCTCCATATCCCAGGCATTTAAAACCACAGTCAGCACTTGAAATAGCACCCCAGGTGGCCAGTTAATATTGCTTTGACTTGAAAGTATCAACTGAAACACAAAGCAATTGAAGTAGTTTTGAATTAAATAATGTACCTTAATCTATTCAATGACTAATCTAGTTATTTGAAACGTGAATTACTTTTATCTGAGTATCTGATAGATGGGCTACTCTTCAAATGTGGATATTTCTCAGGACATTCTTTCTTAAAAAGGCTCCCTCTAGTTATTCTCTTATATTCACATCATAGTCCATTGCTCCCAGGCACATTTCAGGCAACAAGCACCACACCTTTCTTGGGACCTTGGAGTGTTGAATGTACACAGAGCTTAAAATAGGTTCTCCTCCTCCACCTAAACACTGGGTGGTGAGTGCCCCACAGACCGCAGTTCCTATTCTCTGTGTATGTTACTTTGTGTCCTAAATACTTCAAATGTAAAAATCTTTATTCAATCCTAACATCTCAAAGTGGGGGGATTAATGCTGTTTCCCAGAAATGGTAGTGTTCTCTTCACTGATTTGACAGAACACGCCCACACACTGTGAACTAACACTTTACATACAGAGAATAATAAACAGCAATCTGAAATATTAACCTACTGGCAGAAAGCTCTGACTGATACAATAAGAAAGAAAAAAAGTGGTTGCTTTCCTGTTGCCTGAGAACAAATTTCATTTCTTTGGGGTTTAGATATTCTTTCTTGTTGGTCAATAATAAAATTCAGGAATCAAGTGAAGACCTTTTAGAAAGGGTAATGATCCCTCTCCCTGAGAAAGAAAAATATGTTCATTCTGGTTAGATATGAATTTATTGTTAATAATAGTATAAGGCTGAATATTAAATCAGAAAGCCAATATACTTGCATTAGCAAGCTTAAATTGTATCACTTCCACTGCTTGAGAGAATATTTTATACAGCTATTAAACTATCCTTGTAGATTGTGTTATTGGATTAAAAATAATTGCAAGGGGTAAACTGAACCAATATTACAGTTGTTACTTGCTATCAGGAGCATCAGAGACTCTTCATTATTACTAATTTTAGAATTCAATAAATTATAACGTTTGAATTTATTTTTTTATTTTTTTTTTTTTGCTTCTGTAGGTTTTATTGATTTCATAGTAGAGCCAACATTTTCTCTTCTGACAGACTCAACAGAGAGAATTATTATTCCTCTTATAGAGGAAGATTCAAAAACCAAAAATTCTTCCTATGGGGCAAGCAGGTTTGATATTTTCTTTTCTGCATCATTTTTCATATTTGTGATGTTTCATAACCTTTTACTTATGATTATTATTTCTTACATCTAAATAGGAAACTCTAAGAATTATTAGGTAGTATTGCCACCTAGTGGCTTTTGTTATATTGCACCTGCTTTTGAGAGGAACTTAGTGTCCTCTACAAAAAATATCAAAGTACTAAGGAGGATATGAGAATAGTATTCAATACTCAAGAGAAAAAACTATTTAAATTTTTGTTAAGGATGTAGGTATTATGTCCTGTATATAGTAATATATTTGGTTGTGTTGGTCTGCTTATAAAGAAATCAATCACAACCCATTTGTGTATCTAGAAAGATGCCTGTATGAAAGTTAGCCTTTTAGATAACATGAATAAATGGATATGTAGAACAACTTACAATATTTCAAACTAGATTTTTTCATTGATAAATTCATTAAAGGATATGATTTAAAACTTCCAGATATGGAAAAGTCATACTAATTTCTTGCCCATCTAAATACACAACTTTTCATGATAGCACACCAAGCAGCTTCTAAATGTTGCCCAGTGAGGAAACTGAGGGACTGTTCTACCTGAGAAAGATCCAGGTTAGCCTGGAGATTAAATGATGGAGGAAGGGGCAGTTGCCGTTACCCACTTTATGCTCCAGAATCGTGATGCCCATTTTGTGATGTTCACTAATGGACTCATCACTAAGTCAGCTCGCCCCAAGGTGCTGCTGCCCTCATCCTGCCTCACCACCATATAATACATGAGCATCCCAACCTGCTTCTCTGGAAGTCCTGGACAGACCCAGAGAATCCCAGGCAGAATCCCTGGTCCTCTCCACGAGAGAAGGAAAGGAGGGTGGTAAGCAACACTAACACATGCTCAGAACTGGGCCTGAGTACCTGCCATCCTGCTTCTCCAGTTGGTTTTGTAAAGTGTTTCATTTAGGCTTTGCTCCCTCATCCCATATTCCTACCTTAGTGTTTTCTGGTTTCTTTGGTTGTTGCTGTTAGCTCAGGTATCTTCATGGGTTTGTATACTGCTGATTTATTTAGACGATCAAATATGAAAGGCACCATGAACGAAGGCACCTATTCCCCAGACTACTCCCTTGCAAGTGTGGACCTGAAGAGCTTCAAAAACAACCTGATGGACATCATCCAGCAGAACAAGGAGAGATGGAAAGAGTTAGCTGCACAAGGTATAGTTGTTTATGAAGTCTTACTGCCATTTCTTTATGATGAATTAGCATTTTTCCCCCCCGATTTCTTTTTTTTTTTTATAAAATAGGCAAGACCTTGCTGGTATTTGAAATTTAGCTACCCTTTGATTATTCATAAGAAACTTCGTTTATCTGTTGAAGAAAAGAGATTCTTCTCTGTTTATGCCACAAGGACTGTAGAAGTATGTGTCAGTGGGTGGTGACAAAGTAGATATGAAAGATGGGACAATAAAATGGTGACAAAACTTTACATGGCATAATAACCTGTTCATATCTAGAGGTACTTTCGAGCCTCTAGTGTTGTAGGCTTTGCAAGTGGCTTTTGGGCTGCATTAGGAAAATAACATCTAGTGTCAGAGATTTAGGTGTCTGTTTTTGTTTTTGTTTTTTAAATTTTTCTAAGTTACTTCTTTGCCTGACAGCTTCATCCCATGAGTTGAAAAAGTCATTTGTAATTTGCCACCCCCCCCCAAAAAAAGCGAAGCTAGCTCTAGTTATTTCTATCATATTTCCTGATTCAAATAAATTAGTCCATTTGGTTTACAGGGTATGTGAGTTAGTATCTGTCATTATCTTTCACGCAGGAAATTAGCTTTCAAATTCCAGATCTGGCCCCTGCCTTCTTTCACATTCCCTCCCATAGACCTGCCTCTTTCATGCTCTGTACTCCCTACACAGTGGCCTGCTGGTAATTTCTTAAAATATCCCAGGGCCTTTGCACTGATGGTTTCTTTAGCAAGGAATTCTCTTCTTGGAACTCTCTGCAAGGTTGATATCTTCTTGGCTGGCAGTCCTGTTTTAATTTTTAATTTGAAAAACAGCACTTAAATAACTCATTTAATTTAATTCTCACATGGATCTTAAAAGATTTATACTATTATTATTTCCATTTTACAGATTAAAAAAAACTGAGATAGAGGACAGTTTTGTTACTTGCCTCAAGTCTCACAATTGTGTAGCTTACCCCAAGTCTCACAATTAGAAGCTGGAATTTATTTTCTTTCCAAATGCAGTGCCCTAAAACACCACTCTAGGCAACCCCACAACGAGGCCCTCCTTGACCACTAAAAGTAATGTACTGTGTCCTTTTTTTCCCTATTAGGGCTCAGTTTAGTCACTCAAAGTGATATTACTAATCTATAATCAATGATATTTGCTTATTCCTTTCCCGATTTATCATCTATTTTCCACATGAGACTGTACGGTACTCAAAAGTTGTGACATGGTCTATCATGTTTTCCAGTGTATCCTCAGCAACTAGCACAGTGCAAGGCATATGACAGGCACTCAGCAAATATTTGTTTAATTAAATAATTACTCCTGGATGGTATCACAATATTCCTCAAACTCTGTTATTAAAAAAAAAATAAAAGAAATACCGATCTAATGCCTTCATCTGATTCTGTAACTCACATTTTCCCAGCTACATTAGTCTGATCTTAGTTGAAGGGAAAAAGTTTCCCAAGCATTGGAGGCTCTGTATAGCCAGGAAGAGGGCTACTTCTTAGGTTTATAACCTGTGTGTCACAGGCTCCGACACTCAGAATGGGCTTGTGCTTATTTAAATGTTCTATAATCATGATCTTGAAATTCTTAATAATTTTTGAGCCAGGAGCCTCATTTTATTTTTTACTGGGCCCTGCAATTGTGTAGCCAGTTCTGGCCAATACAGAGTCTTTGTAATGCCATGTCACTCAATAAATAACATAATACAATACAAGACCCAGATGACCATAAGTAAAACAGAAATTTAGAGAGATAAGGAAACTTTGGAGCCAGAATCTTTCTTGAGAATATCTCCTTAACTTTGCTGGAGTCATAAGTTTGCTGACTGAATTTATCACTGCATCGGGTTTATGCCAGAAGTGCACATTTGATTCCATGTTTTAAAAATTCTACTAATGCAGTTCATTCACTATGTTAATGAAAAAAGGAGAAAATTATACGGTCTCAAGAGATGCAGCGAGAGCATTTAATAAAATTCAATATTCAATTAGGATAAAATTCTTAAAATTTAGAACATTCATAATCTACTATTTCTGTTCTCCCACTTCTTTTGTATTCATTCTTACTGCTTGAGGTTTTTTTTTCTTTTTCATTCCAATTAATTTTCTTTATGGTTTGAAATATTTGTACTCTATTTCTGTTATTTTCAGTGCATAGCCAACAGTGGATAACAGTGACGTTACTCAATAAATTTGCCTTTCCAGCAAATAACACAAAAACCTTTAAAAAACTTTGATATATATTTTTAAAGTTTTAAAAATACAGATTTTATATTAATGAAACTTTAAAATGTGTGTTTGAAACTCTAGAATGTGAGGATGAATGTTTTTCAAGTGTTTTGAAAAATCAAGTTAGTGCAGGAAGACTCTCTCAAGGACCCTTCCATGCATGCGTAGCTGGGATGTGTGGAGGGCTATCTCAGCCTTCCGTGGCCTCTAATTGCTAGGATTTTTCTGTAAATCCTGTTGATCTACCACTTACTCCCAACTTGGACCACAACCTCAGGCTTGAAAAGCTATGGGGTTTCCCCATTTAGAAAAATTAAACTAAATCCACCTCTCTATGCAGGAGGAGGGGGCGTGGAGTGAGTAGGGCATTGCCCTCTCTTCCCATCTCAAACTGAGTCCACCACCTCTGGCAGCAAAGCTGGTTTCTGCAGCAGTTCTCCAGCTGGGGTTGGTGGAGGGAGGTGGGAGTAACTCCAGGCAAGGTCACAGGATCCTGCTGTTCTTACTTGAATCTCCAGCAATTTTTCAAATGTAAATGATTCTCAAATTGTTGTGTTGTCTTGATTGATTTCCAGCGTGACGGAATAGTTGTTTTTGTTAATATTTTTTAATGTTATACTTGTTTTCTGTGGAAACACTCTAACTCTTCACATCATTTGTAACAGGAAGTTTCCTTGTCCACATTGGTTTTTGAGAGAATTAAATGAATTGATTTATGTAATCTACTTAGAAGTACCTAGAATAGTAGCACTACATGAGTTGTTGTTATTATTGTAATTATTATTTATTGCCCTTCTGCTATGTGTTCTAGGAATTGGAGATGTGGTAAAAAGGAAAAGAGACAATAATGCCTAGCCTCATGAAAGAGGGAGTGGGCGTTAAGAGAGGGGATTGCAATTTTAAATAAGGTGGCCAGGAAAGGCTTTACTGAGAAAGTGATAATTTAAGTAAGTACATGACGGAAGTTAGAAAAAGCTATGGGGTAGAGGTTGGCGGGGTAAGGAGTAGGGAATAAATTTTCACACAGAGGAAAATAACCAGCAAAATATCAGAGAGATCAAGCTTGCCTGACATTCAAAAATAACTGGAGGCAAATGAAGCTGAGGGAAACTGAACAAGTGGGAATAATGTAGGCCATGTGATAAGTGGGAAATGTGCCACATTTTTGGCCAAAGAAAGATAGGTAGTCCAATTTGTAGAGATTTGAAGAAGAAAAATAAAGCAATGTGAATTGAAGTTTTGAAAAGATCACTCTGGCTACAGAATGGAAAATATTCTTCTCTTTGGGAGGCAAAAATGGAAACAAAGAGGCCAGAAAGGAGGCTATTGTTAACTCAGGAGAAAACCAGAGGTTAAACTAGGTGGTAGTGGTAGAGGACAAACCATCTCAGTTCTGGATACATAAAGTGATGGCTTAAACCACTGTGCATGTGCAGGAAGAGATAACAAAAAGTGATGGAATTTTGGATATTTTTTGAAAGTAGAACTGGTTGAATTTTTTAACAGATTAGATGTGGAGTATGAAATCAAGAGAAGAGTCAGGAATGATGCCTGGACTTCCGGTTTTCCCACACGTTAATTGTTTACTTGTAAATTTGCATAATTATTTTGCAAAACCATTTAGCATTCTCTAGCAAAGCTGAAAATGTACGTGCCACATTTCCCAGCAATTTCGCTTCTATACTTTCACCCTAAAGAGACTTTCGCTCATGTGCATCAGAAGACAGGAGCAAAATATTTATAGCAGCATTGTTTATGAGTCAAAAAAAAAAAAACTGGAAAAAAAAGTAAAATAAATTTATAAGCTGTGGTGTATTTATATTATGGAACAATATACTACTGTTTAGATTAGTGAACTTTAGCTGTGAGCAACAACAAGGATGAAAGACACAAACAATGATGATTAAAATATGCAAACTGCTGAAATATAGCAAGATGCCATTTATACAACTTTGAAAAGAAACCTACAAGCTAAACAATAAGTTTTAGAATACACATAATAAAAGGATTGATAAGGGGAAATATTCAGAATCTAGAGAGAAGGATGGGGCTTATTTAGGAATTAGTAATATTTCATTTCTTAGGTTAGATGCTAGACACACAAATATTTGTTATATGACTATAGTTATACCTAACATATATGCCTTATATATGTACATATAATTCGTTTGTATGAATAGAATATTTCATAATAAAATGAAAAATATGATTTGCTACATATAAGTTTATATATGTATTCAGTCTTAAATACGATGAAGATGAAAGTTTATTATAATTGCTTTCAGATGAGAATAAGCAGGTTATATGATACTTAGAGCTTTGTAATATAAACTAAATTCCGAGTCTCTGAACAGAATCCTGGATGTTTGTTCATCATCATATTAGCCTTGAAGCTATATTTTATAGATATCTCAAAATCATTCCACTAATCCTAGAGTAGCGAACGTTGTGGACGCTTAAGCTCTATAATATGAAGCTCCTGGGTCATCAATAAAACAAAACACTTTTTTAAAGAGTAATTTTATTCAGTGAGACTTCTACGAAGAGTCTGGGAACATCTGTTTAAGAATGTTGGATGTAAACACATTCTTTTTTTGACATGGGACGCTTACAAAAACAAACTGCAAATGCTTTCCTCCATCCCAAATGGTTTACTTTTTTAGTTAAATCTTACACATTTTGATGGATATGCCTTCATAATTTACACAGCATCTTAAGTATTTGCCCAATCTCTACCTTTTTCTG